GTTTATTGTACTAAGAGTCATTTATTGAATGAATTTTTACTGGCTTCATTTAGAACTAACTTTGCATCAAATTGATCTTAAATTGGTCGGCAACATTGAACACATTATTATGGGATCATGCATTTAACATTATTAGTAATCAACAGTCTGTTACATTGTAGTGTAGAGTGGTGAGCTACTGGTTTTGGAAGATAAATAATTGTTTTATTCTTCATTACAGACACTGTAATTCGTGCTTTTTTTAAACAATACATAGTATTGTATGAACTTGAATAGTAGCCAATCATTTCTCAATAAAAATATAAAAACAATGTTTTATTTTTTATAAGAGTTCTTAGGTTGCAGTCCCCACTACAACAAATAAATACTTAAAATGCATGTATTTTTGTCCTTGAAACATTACATTGAAATACTGTAGATTCCCATTAATTCCTATGGAGGCTGTTCCTTATGAGGAGTACCATAATGGCGGACGGTGACTTCAGAACAGCGCCCCCTGTCAGTAATCTAGTGAATACATACTGTAGCTATATAAACTGGGTGGTTCGAGCCCTGAATGAATGCTGAAAGCCGTGGCATATCAGACCATATACCAAGGATATGACAAAACGTTTATTTTTTGTACTCTTCCAATGACGTTGGTAAACCAGTTTATCACAGCAATAAGGCACCTAGGGGTTTTGTGGTATTTGGCCAATATACTGTTACCATGGCTAAGGGCTGTATCCAGGCACTCCGCGTTGCGTCGTGTTTAATAAAAGTCCTTAGCCGTGGTATATTGGCCATAGACCACACCCCTCGGCCCTTATTGCTTAAATATATAATTGGAAGTAACGATAGCTCCTTTAGTGCATTATTGGGTTATTACAGCTAGCTAACCCCCCCTTCAATGTTTCCCTGTGTTAGCCAACTTGGCTAGCTAGCTTGACCGAATCATTGTTTGTGACTAGGAGTACAGCTACGACCGGGAGTGACTTTCCGTAGCAGGTTAGGAGAGCGTTTTAACTACCTTTAACCCTTTTCCAAATCTTAACCTATGTCTCCTAACCTTGCCAAGTAATTATCCTAACCTGATGCTAACAATACTACGAAAAAGTTCACTTCCGGTCGTAGCTGTACTACGCCCTCTACTAGTCAGAACCCGAATCATGGTTATCTAATAACTCGCTAACTATGTAAAAAACCTTTCACAGCAGCTGTTATTTTGTTCTAACTAACTAGATAGCAGAATTAAAGTTACTTGCTAGGTTAACACGCTGTTAACTATCGTGTTGATGTCGATAGCTAGCTAGTTAACAAGCTAACTAGCTAACGTTACCTACCTAGTCAACGTAGCCGTCTCAAAACGGCATGATAACTAACGTAACGTTAGTTTAAACTTTCACATATCAAGCAGGTTATAAATCAAGGAAGATCACATTTTAACGGGAAAAGCATTCAGAATAATCCTGATTTAGAGCTGCTACGATACACATGTAGTTAGCTAGTTAGGGCTAGGCCCATAACAGGCCTCCTCGCCCGTCTCCACAACTGCAAGAGGCACACACACACGACGGTCCCCATTTGACGGACGAAATACACACATTCTCGACGCTCTACGGGCCAACTCACCTCATGGTTGAAAGCATTTACGGCATCCATGATTTCGCTACCAGAAAACCCCTTCCTTAAGTATACAACTACTCGGTAAATGCGGCGTTTATCCCCGCTAAAACAGGGCTAACATGTCCGCTCTCTAGTTGCAGACGGGGATGGCGGGTATGGAGCGAGGCAGAACGGGATTGGGGTAGTTGTAGAATTTGACCACACGGTGGCGGTATTGTATATGGATTTAACCGTGGCACCCAGACGGGATTGGGGTAGGTATAGTATTTGACCACACGGTGGCGGTATTGTATATGGATTTAACCGTGGCCCCCAGTTGAACTTGTGAATTGATACATTTTACATTTACATTTTAGTCATTTAGCAGACGCTCTTATCCAGAGCGACTTACAGTTAGATTGGCTGAAAGCCGTGGCATATCAGACCATATACCAAGGATATGACAAAACGTTTATTTTTTCTCTTCCAATGACGTTGGTAAACCAGTTTATCACAGCAATAAGGCACCTAGGGGTTTTGTGGTATTTGGCCAATATACCGTTACCATGGCTAAGGGCTGTATCCAATTAATGATACAATGTACCGTATGTTGTGACTTCTAGGGATACAATGTATTCATTAATCTGAATTGTGTCAAATGTATGTTTTTGTTTTAAACTTTACAGTTGGCAAATGTTTTGGATATATATATATATATATATATATACTGAACAAAAATATAAATGCAACATGTCAAGTGTTGGTCCCATGTTTCATGAGCTGAAATAAAAGATCCCAGAAATTGTCCATATGCACAAAAAGCTTATTTCTCTCAGATGTTGAGCACACATTTGTTTACATCCCTGTTAGTGAGCATTTCTCCTTTGCCAATATAATCTATCCACCTGATAGGTGTGGCATATCAAGAAGCTGATTAAACAGCATGATTATTACACAGGTGCACCTTGTGCTGGGGACAATAAAAGGCCACTAAAATGTGCAGTTTTGTCACACAACACATGCCACAGATGTCTCAAGTTTTGAGGAAGCGTGCAATTGGCATGCTGACTGCAGGAATGTTACCAATGTCGTTTTAGAGAATTTGGCAGTACTTCCAACCAGCCTCACAACCACAGACCACGTGTAACCACGCCAGCCCAGGACCTCCACATCCAGCTTCTTCACCTGCAGTATCATCTGAGACCGGCCACCCGGACAGCTGATGAAACTGAGGAGTATTTATTTCCGTAATAAAACCCTTTTGTAGGGAAAATCTCATTCTGATTGGCTGGGCCAGCTCCCCAGTGGGTGGGCCTGGCTCCCAAGTGGGTGGGCCTATGCCCTCCCAGGCCCACCCATGGCTGCACCCCTGCCCAGTCGTGAAATCCATAGATTAGGGCCTAATGACTTTATTTCAATTGATTGATTTCTTTATATGAACTGTAACTGAGTAAAATCGTTTTAATTGTTGCATGTTGTGTTTATATTTTGTTCTGTATAAGATTCGATTATAATAGACGTAATTATGGACTAATTCATTCATATCCGAAATACGAATGCAACTCATGCTACATGTAAGCTAAATGGGTCCAATGTAACTGCTGTTAGTAATAGCTTAGTTACACAATTAGAAGTCCTATTGAAGATACTTTACATTTGAGTCATTTAGCAGACTATGAGCGACTTACAGTGGCGAGTGCATACATTTTCATACTAGTCACCCATGGGAATCGAACCCACAACCCTGGCGTTGCAAGCGCTATGCTCTACCAACTGAGCTGCACGATACGGCTGACGTAGCGTACTAACGTCACTATAGCCAACCTACATGAACTAGCGGTTTGGAATCATCTAATTGATTGTAATTCATAATACTACCAATAGATGACGCCACATTCTCGTTTTTGCTCCCATATTTCCACCGTCTGATTTCGTCAGTCTTGACCGCATGGTCCGGTAGACAAAGCAAGGTGGAGGCAATGTGCTGAGCTGACACTTTGCAGCTGACAGAACAATTCAATAGCCTATGTTTTCCTTGGCTATAGAAGACAAAAACAATCTACTGACTGTATTTGTTTAGCAAAACATGACGAAATAAATATAGAGAAATATTGTTTTATTTGTAAACCTTATTTGTTCCCTAACCTACCGCCCAAAATATATGTTTGGTAGATTATTATTAGCACCAATACATTAGCCTCTTGTCTTCCTATTCAGGAGCGAAATTTAAGAGGTTGAATGTAATGCAACAGTTTCTTATGAATTCAACAGAGCGTTTCTCCTGTGTGTGTGTGTGTGTGTGTGTGTGTGTGTGTGTGTGTGTGTGTGTATGTGTTCATAGACAAGGCAGGAGAAACTGAGCTCATCCTCTCTGATGGGGAGGCCTTCAAAGCGGTGCCGCCACGCTTTGTTTCTAGTTAATTCATTAATTAAATCAGTTTCATCCATGTGGATGAAGAAAACAGAAGAAAAAAAATACTAAAAGAAACACAGATGCCGTTTCCCATGTGTGTGTGTGTGTTATTGCTATTATCTGATGTAATAGCTGTAGCTTTATTTTACTGCTGCTCTTTAATTATTTTTTTACTTCACTTATTTTTCTTAAAACTGCATTCATTGTTGGTTAAGGTCTTGTAAGGAAGCATTTCACTGTAAGGTCTACACCTGTTGTATTTGGCGCATGTGACAAATGCAATTTAATTTGATTAGATGTATTTGACAGCACAAAGAAAATAACGCGCGGAAAAAAGAAAAAAATGCAAACACAAATATAAAATTGTGTTAGAGTATAATTTAGACCACAGTCAGTTGTTTTCTTGAGACGTCACAATCTAAAAACGTCCATCAGACGTGTGGGCGTGTCGCGTGTAGCTCGTTTGGTTATTGGCACGCGGAGCAGAACATGGGAATGGAGAGGCGCAGCCCTTTTACGCAATGTTCCCCTTCATCACACATTTCTTTGTTCCTAAAACAACATGTAAAACATGTTATAACTGCTCCTACATTTGCATATAGCCTACATAACACATCCTTTAGGTTTACAATATCCATGGATAATAAAATAACCTTGTGGAGTAGGCTATTCTGTCTATCTGTATTCAAGACAAGCCGCTTTAGGTGAAGGAGAAGGGTCAATCTCTCTCCAAACAGCAAGAAAAATCAATAGGCTCATAAATCAAAGTCCGTGTTCTTTAACTACCAGGAGTCACCTTCCAATCAGGGCAGAGAGAAAGCACTATGATATCATCCCTATAGCCAGTCTCCGGGCGAGTTAGACTTTCCTTTGTTTGAGCTGCTACTGTATTTGGAGAGGAGGAGAGGGGGAGAAGAAGCATGTTCGGAGGGCGGGGGTTTGGGTATCTGGATCTCACGTCTCCTCCCGCCGCCGCCTCTGATAGGATCACAGTTCAGCCCGGTTACCAAGTCCGGGAGCTTTTTCTCACAAACAAGTAACGCCCACCCACTGAACCGGGAAAGTCGCGTCGAACCCAGCAGCGTGTTTCACATTCAACCGTCTATTCCATAACCTTCCAACGCGGAGGAACGCTCATTACAGAACACATTGACAGTGACAAAGAGAGAAGTTTCATGAACAACACTTTCCTTTGTTTATCACAGGATTTAAGGATATTTACAGACTTCTAGTCTTTTTTTTAACAACGTTTTGGCAATATTTATAATTTTTTGAGTCAAGAAGCCTATTTTGAATTGTGTTCTCTTTATGGGACCTTTACATAAAGTGATTGAAAACGTTTGGACGCGTCATCTCTGAACGATCTCAAGAAAGTGCTGAGTGCGCTCACTACATGCCGACGCTTTAGGTTGAACAGGTGGCGCCATCTCGGATTTCCTTTAAGTATTTACAATTATTTGGGACAGGCAGACGGGACTTTACTTCAGATGCGCCTCACATACCGGACAGACCCCGTTTAGCGCGACAGAGGAGAGAGCGAGAAACAAAAGCCCATCTGGTCAAAACAAACAAACCGTTTATAGTTTGACAGTTAGACGCGGTTATAACTGCCGCTGACTTCGACATGGTCGTTGAAAGTCCCCGGTTACACGGGGTTAAAGCCCCGGCCCCTACCCCCAATAACGAGAACGTTGTCCCGGCTTCCCTAAGCAGTCCTGCCGTGGATATCTTGCGGAACTTCTACCACACCAAGCGGGTGGGGAACTACCTGATCGGGAGGAAACTTGGAGAGGGCTCCTTTGCTAAAGTCCGAGAGGGACTTCATGCCACGACCGGAGAGAAGGTAGGCTAGTCGACAGTTCTTGAACTTACGTTTTTTCGATGTTGAAATGTAAAACACTTGGAATCTTTTGCCAAGTGACCCATATTGCTACAGTTACAAGATGTAGATTATGTATTGGACATTTAACTGCATTTAACTGCTTAAATTAGGCTACTTAATTATAACGGGGTTACAATAGCCTCCTATTAAACACGTAACATGTAAATAGACACTTCACATTGAAAAGTGATGTCATTGATATTTTCTATCACGTTTTAAACTACTTGCTAATCGGTACAGCGGTTACACGACGTGGTGACACATACAGTCATATATATATATACATAGTCACATACATAGTCATGTTTGCCGGGTCGATAACGTTACGTTCCCCAGCAAGAACAACAACAGTCACTCAAACAGAAGAGAGAACTAACGAAGAGTCACTGACCAACAACCCAAACAGGTGGGCTTTTAGGAGGGGTTCTGAAAGTTGACTAGAAACAACAACTGGGACATAAAAGACACCCACCACGTGCGCCCACTACATTACCCCAAGAAGAGGCAAACAAAAGAAAACCCCGCACCAAACTTAAAGACAGGAAGCAAACCAAAAAGGTGTTGCAAAACGAAATCAGATAAAGGATTGCTTTTCTAGAAATCAAAATAGGGCGCTCCGACTCTAAAGGTGTTGACCCTCCACATCTCTCTCAAGCCAACAGGAGCACTGGGCCAGCCACTCTTAAATAGCACCTGGGCTAGCACGGGTGAAACACCTTCCCACTAACGAGATGGACAAGCCAGCACAGGTGGAACACATAACTGACTAACGAGGTGACACCAATCGGTGCGCCCTACTTACTAACGAGTTAGTGGAAATAACCAAAACCTGTAACAATAACCTAGCGCTTACTTATTTCACAACTCATAATGATAATAATAATAATAATAATAATATAATGACAAATGAGGTCTGATGTACACATGCAACCCTACTGTAATAATGACACATTCATTATGAATGGACTCCTATAGTGCCAGGTGGGGATGGTTAACCAGCACTGTGGGAGGTAACGCACGCACACTCATACGCACACTCATACGCACACTCATACGCACACTCCTGCCCAAAACCCAGCATGAATAAGATCAATATTTACTGTAGTGTGTGTGTGTGTGTGTGTGTGTGTGTGTGTGTGTGTGTGTGTATGTGTGTGTGTGTATGTGTGTGTGTGTATGTGTGTATGTATGTGTGTGTGTGTATGTGTGTATGTGTGTATGTGTGTGTGTGTGTATGTGTGTGTATGTGTGTGTGTGTGTGTGTGTGTGTGTGTGTGTGTGTGTGTTCTGTACCAGGTGTTGTGTTGAGCTGTACTCTCTGTAGAGATCTCCTGAAACAGACTGAGACTGTCCTGATCCTCAGCTCGGCTCCAGTGGGTGTGTGTGTGTGTGTGTGTGTGTGGTGTATGTATAATGAATAGACCAGCCCATGAGAAAGTGGCGCGGACACTTACATATTAAATTATGGCTTTGATATGTGTGTGTGTGTGTGTGTGTGTGTGTGTGTGTGTCTGTGTGCGTGTGCGTGTGCGCGTGTCTGTGTGTGTGTCTGTGTGCGTGTGTGTCTGTGTGTGTGTGTCTGTGTGCGTGTGTGTCTGTGTGTCTGTGTGTCTGTGTGCGTGTGTGTCTGTGTGCGTGTGTGTCTGTGTGTCTGTGTGTCTGTGTGCGTGTGTGTCTGTGTGCGTGTGCGCGTGTCTGTGTGTGTGTGTCTGTGTGTGTCTGTGTGTGTGTGTCTGTGTGCGTGTGCGTGTGTGTCTGTGTGTGTGTGTGTGTGTGTGTGTGCTACCATTGGCCACTGGTTGCCTTTGTCTCTCTGGGTTCTCTGGGCTTTTGAGGTGCAGCCAAATTCATTAGCATATTACAAAAACACGTACCCCTTTTCCTCACTGTGTGAGTGCGCGTTTGTGCATATGTGTTTTTCACTATGTGTGTGTGCGTGTTTTTGTGTGTGACCTGAAATTCCTATTTAGAAAATTAAAGAAATAGATCCCCCCCCCCGTACCCCCTTTCACTCTGTTGCTGTGGAGAGAGAGAGATAGAATCCTTCTCTCCTCTCTTCCCTCCTTTCCTCCTTCCCTTGTTCCCTTTGTATGGATGATGCAAACACTTGGCAATCACAGTCAGGGGAGGGGGAGGGAGGGGAGGGAGGAGGAGGGAGGGAAGGGAGAGGAGGAGGGGGAGGGGAGGAAGGAGGCGGAGGGGAGGGGAAGGGAGAGAGGGGGGAGAGCTTCGTTCTCTTTTTTCTTTTCTCTGTTCTTTGCGTCTCTTTCCCGGGGCTCTCTGTGCTTAAACGTTAGGGGTGTTGTTTTTTGTGTTTTTTTTTTTTTTTTTATGTTTTTCCCTTTTTTTTTTTTTTTCCTTCTGGGTTGGGGTCCCTTTGCCCCTCTATTCTTTTCCCTAGAGGGATTGCACATTTTGCTAAACCTTTTGAATGTATGTAAACCCCCTTTCCCCCATCCCCCTCCCCCGTTCCCCTTCTTGGAGAATAAACCTCACATTCCGCCCTGGAGAAACCCCCCCCTCGTCTCCCCCTAGCCGCCTTATCCCCCCTTACTGAACACACTTCTTCCCCATACTGAATCAAGTATACCATCACTCTCCATCTCCCCTCCCCCAGTATACCCCCCACTCTCCACCCCTCCCCCCCCCCCCCCGTATACCCCCCCACTCTCCCCTCTCCCCTTCCCCATTTAAACCCCCCACCCCTCCCATCTCCCCCCCCCCCAGTATCCCAAAAAACCCGGGCCCTCGTCTCCCCTCTCCCCTCCCCCCTTTACCCCCAAACTCTCCGAATCTCCCCTCCCCAGAAAAGGGCCGCCCCCCCCCAAATTAATCCTCCATTCCCCCCAGTATTAACGGGCCCCCAACTCTCCAATCTCCCCCTTCCCCCTTCTACACCCCCACTCTCCTCTCCCCTTCCCCCTAAATACCCCCACTCTCCATCTCCCCTTCCCCCCCATTTACACCCCACTCTCCATCTCCCCCCCAGTTAAACCCCCACTCTCCATCTCCCCTCCCCCGTAAAACCCCCACTCTCCATCTCCCCTCCCCCAGTATACCCCCACTCTCCATCCCCCCCCCATTATACCCCCTCTCCTCTCCCCTCCCCCATATACCCCCCCCACTCTCCATCTCCCCTCCCCCATTATACCCCCACTCTCCACCCTCCCCTCCCCCCGTATACCCCACTCTCCATCTCCCCTCCCCCAGTAACCCCCACTCTCCATCTCCTCCCCCAGTATACCCCCACTCTCCTCCCCCCCCTCCCCCAGTAAAACCCCCACTCTCCTTTTCCCCCCCCCCCAGTACCCCCCCCCCACTCTCCATCTCCTCTCCCCCAGTATCCCCCCACTCTCCACCACTCGTCCCTCTCTCCCCCAGTATACCCCACTCTCCACTCCCCTCCTCCAGTTACCCCCACTCTCCATTCTTCTTTGTTGTCATTCAACAAAGGACGACTCGGTTTCATGCATTTTTTCATTGAGAAATACTGCAAACATCTTAATTAAATGTAAAATTGCGTGACTAAGATCTCCTCTAGTGTTATAGTGTGTTAGGCATGCTGGAGCCAGCTGCTGTAGTGGCAGAGACCAGGACAGGTTACTATATACAGGATGGCCTCTCTCTCTCTCTCCTCTCTCTCTCTCTCTGTCTCTCTCTGTCTCTGTCTCTGTCTCTGTCTCTGTCTCTCTCTCTCTGTCTCTCCTGGTCCATTCTCCATGGGTATAGTTGTTAATGATATCATATCTCACAGAGTGGAGTGGTCAGGCTGCCCTGTGTCTACAGTCTGGGGTCTAGACTCTCTAACTGTAAGTCGCTCTGGACAAGAGCGTCTGCTAAATGACTAAAATGTAAATGAATCAGTTTAGTAACACCTGGGCTTGGAGCGAAAAGGGTAGCTCTCCAGGAACACAGTTGGGCAACTCTGGTCTAGGGTCTAGACTGATCTTATTATTTTTTCCCTCCCTCCTTCTCTCCTTCTCTCCTTCCTTCCCTCCCTCCTTCCCTCCCTTTCTCCTTCCTTCCTTCCCTCCCTCCCTCCCCTCCCTCCCTCCCTCCCTCCCTCCCTCCCTCCCTCCCCTCCTTCTCTCCCTCCCTCCCTCCCCCTCCCTCCCTCTCGCCTTCCCTTCCTCTCGCCTTCCCGCTTTCCTCCTCTCTCCTTCTCCTCCTTCCGTCCCTCCTCCTTCCCTCCCCTCCTTCCCTTCCCTCCCTCCTCCCGTCCCTCCCTCCTTCCCTCCCGCTCTCCCAGGTTGCAGTAAAGGTGATAGATAAGAGGAAGGCGAAGAAGGACTCGTATGTGACTAAGAACCTCCGTAGAGAGGGTCACATCCAACAGATGATCAGACACCCCAACATCACCCAGCTGCTGGACATCCTGGAGACTGAGAACAGGTACTATACGATACGATACTATACTATACTATACTATACTATACTATACTATACTATACTATACTGTAGACTACTGAACATACTGGAGACTGAGAACAGGTACTATACTATACTATACTATACTATACTGTAGACTACTGGACATACTGGAGACTGATAACAGGTACTATACTATACGATACGATACTATACTATACTATACTATACTACACTATACTGTAGACTACTGAACATACTGGAGACTGAGAACAGGTACTATACTATACTATACTATACTATACTATACTGTATACTACTGGACATGCTGGAGACTGAAAACAGGCTCAGTTACTACCAGGTGATGGAGTTGTTACTACCAGGTGATGGAGTTGTGTCCTGTCATCTATCTGTTATCATCAGTTACTACCTGGTGATGGAGTTGTGTCCTGTCATCTATCTGTTATCATCAGTTACTACCTGGTGATGGAGTTGTGTCCTGTCATCTATCTGTTATCATCAGTTACTACCAGGTGATGGAGTTGTGTCCTGTCATCTATCTGTTATCATCAGTTACTACCTGGTGATGGAGTTGTGTCCTGTCATCTACCTGTTATCACCAGTTACTACCTGGTGATGGAGTTGTGTCCTGTCATCTATCTGTTATCATCAGTTACTACCTGGTGATGGAGTTGTGTCCTGTCATCTATCTGTTATCATCAGTTACTAACCTGGTGCTGGAGTTGTGTCCTGTCATCTACCTGTTTATCACCAGTTACTACCTGGTGATGGAGTTGTGTCCTGTCATCTATCTGTTATCATCAGTTACTACCTGGTGATGGAGTTGTGTCCTGTCATCTATCTGTTATCATCAGTTACTACCTGGTGATGGAGTTGTGTCCTGGAGGAAACCTGATGAACCGGATCTACGATAAGAAGAAGCTGGACGAGAGAGAGACGCAGAAATATGTACGTCAGCTGGTGATGGCTGTGGAACATCTACACAGGGCCGGAGTGGTGCACAGGTAAGGGGGAGACACACACACACACACACACACACACACACACACACACACACACACACACACACCACACACGTAGATACACACACACACACACACACACACACACACACAACACGTAGATACACACACACGTAGATACACACGTAGATACGCACACACACACACACACACACACACACACACACACACACACACACACGTAGATACACACACACACACACACGTAGATACACACACACACACACACACACACACACGTAGATACACACACACACACACGGACGCACACAGATCTAGATGCACACAGACGTATACACTCACTCACTCACTCACTCACTCACTCACTCACTCACTCACTCACTCACTCACTCACTCACTCAGAGATATCCATCAAAGTATCAGCATATGATTATTTAGCCACTGCCTGTAAAGTTCTGGACCTCTCTGTGTCTCGCAGGGATCTGAAGATTGAGAACCTGCTGTTGGATGAACAGGAACACATCAAGCTCATAGGTAACTCCACCCCCCAGCCCCCGTTTACCTAACTCCACCCCCCAGCCCCCCGTTTACCTAACTCCACCCCCCAGCCCCCGTTTACCTAACTCCACCCCCCAGCCCCCGTTTACCTAACTCCACCCCCCAGCCCCCGTTTACCTAACTCCACCCCCCAGCCCCCGTTTACCTAACTCCACCCCCCAGCCCCCCATTTACCTAACTCCACCCCCAGCCCCCGTTTACCTAACTCCACCCCCAGCCCCCGTTACCTAAACTCCACCCCCCAGCCCCCGTTTAGCCCCCGTTTACCTAACTCCACCCCCCAGCCCCCGTTTACCTAACTGACCACCGTTTACCTAACTGACCACCGTTTACCTAACTGACCACCGTTTACCTAACTGACCCCCGTTTACCTAACTGACCCCCGTTTACCTAACTGACCCCCGTTTACCTAACTGACCCCCGTTTACCTAACTGACCCCCGTTTACCTAACTGACCCCCGTTTACCTAACTGACCACCGTTTACCTAACTGACCCCCGTTTACCTAACTGACCCCCGTTTACCTAACTGACCACCGTTTACCTAACTGACCCCCGTTTACCTAACTGACCCCCGTTTACCTAACTGACCCCCGTTTACCTAACTGACCCCCGTTTACCTAACTGACCCCCGTTTACCTAACTGACCCCGGCTTTGTCTGTGTGTGTTCTTTCATTTGTATTTTTTATCTAAAAAGGTCAATTCCCACGACAGAAAGAGATGAAGATTGAACTAACTCACTAACCAAACAGACTGACTCAGCCAACAGTAGCTAGGGTTAAAGCAGAGCCTTACCTCTTCCAGAGTAGCAGGGTGTTTCAGGGGAACAGAGCGTTACCTCTTCCAGAGTAGCAGGGTGGTTCAGGGGAACAGAGCGTTACCTCTTCCAGTGTAGCAGGGTGTTTCAGGGGAACAGAGCGTTACCTCTTCCAGAGTAGCAGGGTGTTTCAGGGGAACAGAGCGTTACCTCTTCCAGTGTAGCAGGGTGTTTCAGGGGAACAGAGCGTTACCTCTTCCAGAGTAGCAGGGTGTTTCAGGGGAACAGAGCGTTACCTCTTCCAGTGTAGCAGGGTGTTTCAGGGGAACAGAGCGTTACCTCTTCCAGAGTAGCAGGGTGTTTCAGGGGAACAGAGCGTTACCTCTTCCAGTGTAGCAGGGTGTTTCAGGGGAACAGAGCGTTACCTCTTCCAGAGTAGCAGGGTGTTTCAGGGGAACAGAGCGTTACCTCTTCCAGTGTAGCAGGGTGTTTCAGGGGAACAGAGCGTTACCTCTTCCAGAGTAGCAGGGTGTTTCAGGGGAACAGAGCGTTACCTCTTCCAGTGTAGCAGGGTGTTTCAGGGGAACAGAGCGTTACCTCTTCCAGTGTAGCAGGGTGGTTCAGGGGAACAGAGCGTTACCTCTTCCAGAGTAGCAGGGTGTTTCAGGGGAACAGAGCGTTACCTCTTCCAGAGTAGCAGGGTGGTTCAGGGGAACAGAGCGTTACCTCTTCCAGAGTAGCAGGGTGGTTCAGGGGAACAGAGCGTTACCTCTTCCAGAGTAGCAGGGTGTTTCAGGGGAACAGAGCGTTACCTCTTCCAGAGTAGCAGGGGTGTTCAGGGGAACAGAGCGTTACCTCTTCCAGAGTAGCAGGGTGGTTCAGGGGAACAGAGCGTTACCTCTTCCAGAGTAGCAGGGTGTTTCAGGGGAAACAGAGCGTTACCTCTTCCAGAGTAGCAGGGTGGTTCAGGGGAACAGAGCGTTACCCTCTTCCAGAGTAGCAGGGTGTTTCAGGGGAACAGAGCGTTACCTCTTCCAGTGTAGCAGGGTGTTTCAGGGGAACAGAGCGTTACCTCTTCCAGAGTAGCAGGGTGGTTCAGGGGAACAGAGCGTTACCTCTTCCAGAGTAGCAGGGTGTTTCAGGGGAACAGAGCGTTACCTCTTCCAGTGTAGCAGGGTGTTTCAGGGGAACAGAGCGTTACCTCTTCCAGAGTAGCAGGGTGTTTCAGGGGAACAGAGCGTTACCCTCTTCCAGAGTAGCAGGGTGGTTCAGGGGAACAGAGCGTTACCTCTTCCAGAGTAGCAGGGTGGTTCAGGGGAACAGAGCGTTACCTCTTCCAGAGTAGCAGGGTGTTTCAGGGGAACAGAGCGTTACCTCTTCCAGAGTAGCAGGGTGTTTCAGGGAAGTCATTCTTTATTAGTCCCAAATTGGGAAATTGTTTTGCGACAGTTGAGACATGACAATAAACATAAGGAGGGAGGCAGACTGTTGTAAACACAACCCATATTTATGTTTATTTATTTTTCCTTTTGTACTTTAACTATTTGCACATTGTTACAACACTGTATATAGACATAATATGACATTTGAAATGTCTTTATACTTTTGGAACTTTTGTGAGTGTAATGTTTCCTGTTAATATGTATAGTTTATTTCACTTTTGTTTATTATCTATTTCACTTGCTTTGGCAATACCAGTCAAAAGTTTTAGAACACCTACTCATTCAAGGGTTTTTCTTTATTTTTACTATTTTTTACATTGTAGAATAATAGTGAAGACATCAAAACAATGAAATAGCACATATGTTGCAGTCGCAACAACCATCAAGCGCTATGATGAAACTGGCTCTCATGAGGACCGCCACAGGAATGGAAGACCCAGAATTACCTCTGCTGCAGAGGATAAGTTCATTAGAGTTACTAGCCTCAGAAATTGCAGCCCAAATAAATGCTTCACAGAGTTCAAGTAACAGACACATCTCAACATCACCTGTTCAGAGGGGACTGTGTGAATCAGGCCTTCATGGTCGAATTGCTGCAAAGAAACCACTACTAAAGGACACCAATAAGAAGAAGAGACTTGCTTGGGCCAAGAAACACGAGCAATGGACATTAGACCGGTGGAAATCTGTCCAAATTGGAGATTTTTGGTTCCAACCGCCGTCTCTTTGTGAGACGCGGTGTGGGTGAGCGTATGATCTCCGCATGTGTAGTTCCCACCGTAAAGTATGGAGGAGGAGGTGTTATGGTGTGGGGGGTGCTTTGCTGGTGACACTGTCTGTGATTTCTTTAGAATTCAAGGCACACTTAACCAGCATGGCTACCACAGCATTCATCCCATCTGGTTTGGGCTTTTTTTGTTTGTTTTACCTTTATTTAACTAGGCAAGTCAGTTAAGAACAAATTCTTATTTACAATGACAGCCTACACTGGCCAAACCCAGACGATGCTGGGCCAATTGTGCGCCGCCCTATGGGACTCCCAATCAGGGCCGGTTATGATACAGTCTGGAATCGAACCAGGGGGTCTGTAGTGACGCCTCAAGCACTGAGATGCAGGGCCTTAGACCGCTGCGCCACTCGGGAGCCCAGGTGGGACTATCATTTGTTTTTCAACAGGACAATGACCCAACACACCTCCAGGCTGTGTAAGGGCTATTTGACCAAGAAAGAGAGTGATGGAGTGCTGCATCAGATGACCTGGCCTCCACAATCCCCTGACCTCAACCCAATTGGATTGGTTTGGGATGAGTTGGACCGCAGAGTGTAGGAAAAGCAGCCAACAAGCGCTCAGCATATGTGGGAACTCCTTCAAGACTGTTGGAAAAGCATTCCAGGTGAAGCTGGTTGAGAGAATGCCAAGAGTGTGCAAAGCTGTCATCAAGGCAAAGGGTGGCTATTTGAAGAATCTCAAATATTAAATATATTTTGATTTGTTTAAAACTTTTTTGGTTACTATATGATTCCATATGTGTTATTTCATAGTTTTGATGTCTTCACTATTATTCTAGAATGTAGAAAATAGCACAAATAAAGAAAAACCCTTGAATGAGTAGGTGTGTCCAAACTTTTGACTGGTACTGTATGTGTCCCATGTCAATCAAGCCCCTTAAATTGAATTGAACTGTTGAACCAGGAAGGGTTGTAAATAACACACATATCCACCTCTCTCCCCTCCCTCTCCCCTCTCCTCCCCCCTCTCCCCTCCCCTCTCCTCTCCCCCTCCTCCTTCTCTCCCCTCTATCCCTCCT